CCCCCCCCCCCCCCCAACGTGACACCTATTCGCACCGACACTGTCTGTGAGTATACACAACTCAGGGGTTCTTTAGGCAAAGATGTGAAGATTGTCCTCGACTTTAACACAAGTTTTGCACTTGTTATTTTTAACGATCTGTTGCCTTGTGCTTTTGGCTAGCAAGTCCGCAGAAGGTAGACTGTTGTGTAAAAATCGAAAGAGGATGTTTTGTGTCGGTCCACATGCGTGGGAGGTAAAGTTCTTTTTCCAAATTTGGGTCCATTGTTGTTTTTGTTGACTGTCTTTTGTTTTTTGCCACTTCTGAATAAAAATTTTTGTTGATTTTAGGGGGATGTTAAAAAGGAACCTGTTTTTGCCTAATATTTCAATTGTCATTTTGTAGTACTGACACATTTTATTGTATTAGTGTTTTGGAAAGTTGTTTTGTTTCAAAAAATTCCAGTTTTGGTTTTGGTTAAGAAACTTTATAAGTGAACTTGCTAACCAGTACTTTGAAAAGTAGTAGTAATCGTGAGTTTTATCTTCTCCGCATTCTTTCAGTTGAAAGAGTGTTTTGAGGCGAAGTGCAAGGCTTTGCTCCTTCGGAGATAAAATTCCGAGACCCCCGCTTTTGACGGGTAAAAAACTCTTTCGACCGAATTGAAATTGGTCTTTTGCCACAGATTTTTGAAAATAGCACTGTGTAAACGTTCTATTACCCATTCGGGAACGGGTAGCATGTTTGCCAAAAACCACACTTTCGAAATTGCTAACGTATTTATCTACATAGTCTTTCCCCTTAATGACAAAGTACGTAGTCCCAGAAACTTGAGTTTTTTCTCTACTTTGTTTAGAGTTACTAGCAAGTTGAAATTGGTAGTATAACACCTAAAATTTTGAAACCGGTGTTATTGGTCCACTCTATGTTGCCCAATTCTGGGTACAATTTAGGATCAAAACCCCCAAGAGCAAAACAAGGACATACAACAAAAGAGAGAGGCGTTCACCTTGTTTAACTTCCCTTTCGATAGGGAAAGAGGCTGACAAGAAACCGCAATTCAGAACAGATGCCGAAACCTCTGAATATAGGGTGCCAATGAAGGATACAAAACTTTCTCCGAGGTGAAATTTTTGGAGAATCTGCAGGAGAAACGCACGATCGACTTTGTCAAACGCCTTTTCTTGATCTATTGACAAAATGAAACTAGGTAGATTTTTAAATTCCGCGTAATCTATTAAATCACGGACTAAATGTAAATTTGAGAATATTGTTCTACCTGGAATTCCGCAAGTTTGATTTGGTTTTACAATTTTTCCCATTACTTTTGAAAGTCTTAGGGCCAGCGCTTTTGTGATTATTTTGTTATCAGCACCGATTAAGGATATGGGCCTCCAATTTTTGCATTCGGTAAGATCTTCTTGTTTGGGAATCAGTGTAATTATCGATTTTTTCATAGAGTGGCTGGTATTTTTTTCTACAAAAAAAATTTCGCAAGCAAGTTCTTCAAAATCTTTTTCTAAAATGTGCCAAAAAGTTTTGTAAAATTCAATTGGGAGTCCATCATAGCCCGGAGATTTTCCGTTTTCAAATTTAAAAAGGGCATCTTTTAGCTCCACGCCGGTTAGGCAGGTATTTAAAATTTTGTTTTCATCATCACTTAAATGTTTAGTGATGTGTTTATGAATTTATGGAAAGACAGCCAAAACAAGACATAGTTTTGGCTGTCTTTCCATAAATTCGTTTTGGTGTAAATGCTTTTATAATATGAAACGAGGGAGCTGAGTATTTCACCAGGTTCACTCGTCAATGTGCCGTCATTCTTGCGAATTTCGGTTATTGACTTGTTCCGCTGTTGAACTTTTTCCCAATTATTCAAAAAATTTGAATGTTTTTTTCCTTCTTCGATTAGTTTTTGTTTCGTGCGAATAAACGCTCCTGGAAACTGGAGCAAGTAAAGAGCATCGCGTTTTTCTTTGATGCTATCTAAAATCGGGTCAGTGTTTTGTCGCTCCCGTTGGATTTCGTTTTCAATCCTATTGATTTGTTTTTTGTTTTTCGCACTTTCCTGTATCAATATAAATTGTAATTCAACCCTAACAAAAAGTTTGCAGTCGTCCCACCATTTTAAAATTGAGTTGTAGGACCGTTTTTTTGCTTGCCAATCTTTAACTAAAAGTTCAATTTTTTGCCTATTTACCTCTATTTCCAAAAGGGAAGAATTTAATTTCCAGTATCCTGGCCCTCTCCTAGTTTTACTAAAATTAACGGTTGTTGTCAAAATTAATTAAAAATAGAACATGCATTTTAAAATAGAACGTAAAAGAATCGAAAAATTTTACTGACTTGATGACAGAAAGAAAATAAGAAATTAAAAAAGTAGGAAAGATTTCAAAACGCAAAGAAAATTAATATAAAAGAAAATTTTTACGATTGCTTTTCCGCACAACTTAAAATACCATAGGCGTCAAAATTAAAATTTAAATCTTGCTCGTCGTCGATTAAAATATCTGTGTCATTCTTTTCTTTTTCATGGGTAACCACTACTTTTTCTTTGTTTAAAACTCCTCTGTTTTCTTCACTGGAAGTTTCATTGCTACTTTTTTTTGATTTGGAACTTTTTTCTTTTTTGATTTTGGTTCTACTTGATGTTTTAATTTCTATGTTACGATCATCATTTTCAAAAACGTACTCTGAAATTTCTGTTTGTGTGTTGGGCAAACTTTCTGAATTATTTGTTGGTATGTTTTCTGAAGTGACAGTTGATGAAGATTCGGCACTTGATGAACCACTTAAGTTTACAAGCTTTGGGCTATGTTGAGGTTGCCCATTATGTTTGTAGCGTAGTGTGAATCCATCAACATTTTGATATTTTGGCAACGGGTAAATGTACGGGTTTTGCCAGTTTTTAATTATAACTATTACATTTCCTGTCAGTATATCTTCTCCATGTACCTTTACCTTATGGCAGCTAAAAGACTCG